TCCCGTCAGCGCTGTCTCCCATCGTCGAAACGACGGCGGCCCTGTTGGAAGCGCTGTTGGGGCTGAAGGCGGCGGCGCTGCTGCTGTTGTTGCTGGCGGTGTTGCGGCAGCTGTCTCTGTTGGTATGTCTGCCTGTAGGATGGCCGATTCCAGGACCACTTACGTCTGCTATGTGACTGGATCTCCATCCTGTGCGCAGTCATTCTTGACTCATGTAGTTTCTTGAGTTTGTGGTCGGTACGTGAATGGAAGAGTCCCGAACCATCAAAAGGCATCTCTTCGCCACTTCGTTTCCTCCGGGAAATTACAATTCTGAAGCCATGCGTGTCTCCGGAGGGAAACGGCACCGACCAAGGCCCGGGAGTCAGTGTCCACGTGGTGACGTGCCGTGGACAACTGCTGCACCGCAACCTGCATGGCTTCTTTGATCAGGACCTTCGCAAGATCACCCTGGTGGTCTGGGAGGGTGGAGGCGATGTTGTGGAGGCGCTGCATAATAAAATATTGATAGCGCGCCAACGTCGCCTCGTAGTTAGAAATGCGAAGTCCTAAGCCCGAGGCAGCATAGACCCGCCTGGCCAGGGAATCTATTTTCTGGCCCTCCTTATCCCTCGGCGCCGTATGTCCCCTTGCCTCCCTGCCTTGCGAGGATTTGACGACCGCCGAGTTTGGTTTCAGGTGCTTTAGCAGGAAGGGGATGTCTTCTTCCCTGACCCTGTACATAGATTCATATCTCCTGGATGTCGGCTGAGGATGTGAAGGTAGGTCCCAGGGCTGCATCATCGCCTGCCGCAGGGTAGTTATAAGTGGCAGAACAATAGAGGTCGATTGCTCCCCGCGGACGACGTCGTAAAACTTGTCCGTCGACGGTCCCGGGTGCTGGGCAGCGTCGATGTCCAGGGACTGGACAAGCCTCGACATCAGCTCCGCGAAGGAGACGTGTGACTCATCGGGTGACGCAGGATCCTGGGATGTCACCACGACGTCCGGGGAGGTTGAGTCTACATCAGAGTCATCCGAATCAGCACCATAGTATGGCGGGGCAGAAGATGATGACTCCACTGGTGATAAGGAGCGGCTGCTTCCGCTTTGCGGGGATCGAGGCGGTACCCTCCTTGAATCCACAGACCGCGGTTGGTCATGGGGCGGAGGTGAGGATCACGCTCTGGGAGCAGGGTAGTATCCCACAGAGAGCGGGTCTCCCCAAGGTTGGTAGTAGGGACGACGCCAACTCTCCGGGCGTTGCTCTGCCGAGCGGCTCCTCTGATTCCCTGGTGGGGACAGGCCAGCTTCTGTCTCCAATGTCACCGCGGGCATCAGTGTCGGTGACCTCGCTCTAGGAGGGGAGTCCTGGATTTCCCCATCCGAGATAGACCCCCGTAGAATTGGAAGGGGTGCTGGCGGGAGGTCGACCGCACGTCGGGGAGACCCCTGAGGGGTGACCCGCATTGCCTCTTGAAGGATCGGTTCGGGTGGGGTCGGTATCGTAACCGCCACCGGTACCGAAGGGCCCGTCAGCTCCGAGTCCCGATTTCGGGAATGATCCGTAGACTTAGCCTTCTTTGGAGGCTTAGAGGCCTTTTTCTTTCTGGCCTTCTTATGGCCTGCCGGCTTCAGTTCGGCATGTTTGCGCTTCTCATGCCTCTTTTTTGGTGAGGCAGAGGGGGCCAGCGAAGCGGACGCACCTTCATCTGAAGGGCATGAGGGTGGAGCCACAGAAGCGGAGCCCGGTTTTGGGATAGAGATGAGCGGGTCTGATTGCATCAGGGCCCTATCCCAAAGGAGCCTGCAAAGCCGGTTCTCACGGCTCTTCCTAGCCTGCTTAGAGAAGGCTAGGCAATGAACGCACTTATCCGTCCTATGCCCCTCTCCAAGGCAGAGGAGGCATAGGTTGTGCAGATCAGTAGGTGCCATTTTTGACCCGCAGTCCACACATTTGTGGAAAGCCGCCCGCTGCGCCATCGCAGAAGAAAGAAGAAAAGAGAGATAGTGCAGAGGGTAAGTATATATTTTTGGGGTTTTTTTTTTAGATCGAAGAAGAAATGAGAGAAAACTACACAGAATGGGAAACGAAGTAAGGGAAAAGTAGTTTAAGGGCAATATATAAGGAGAGAACCAAGAATAGCCAAAGCGAAAGTCGAAAGCGGCACGAGGCACAGCGAACGGCGGTCACAAAGACTGAACAAATGGCGGACGCTCCACTCTTTATAGGCCATGGGGGAGAGGAGCGGAGCTTCCCGCCAAAAACCGTTAGCTGTCAATCTTCCGGCCAAAGGCACTGCACAGGCGCAGTACCCATATGTGTGATGCACAGAGGCCACGACGAAGAACAACAGCTATCTGAGGTAGGTTAGGCTGAGAGTGAGTGACGGGACCAGAGTCACCCAGTGGGCTTCATGGCCAAGTGGATCTGAGAACCCAGATCCCCAGTCCAATACTCTAACCACCATGGCCAGGACTCACCTTGTAAGATTCATGGACCATTCATCTAAAGAGGTATGCATATATCTCCTATCTTTCTGGTATCAAAGTGTAAAAAGCTACCCACTCAATCAGGGAGGAGTAGCATAAGGCCCTTAATTCACCTGAAAGGTAAACTATTCTGATTTGCTCTGCCAAAGTAGATTTTATCATTCCCAAACATCCCTCATAAAGATTGATTTACAGTCTACAGTTATGATGCACCACAAATAGAGGAAAAGAACAAGAATTTGTGAAAGGAAAGGAAAGATTAGTTTAGTAGGCCTCAAGAACACAGATGGGGGGATCAACTGAAATAATTCCAGAATCCAACTAGTTTCCCCATACTGAAAGAAGTCTTCTTTCAGTGGAAGGGAGAGAACAGTAGTTTTCAATAGTTCTACCTCCTTCAATAGTTCTCCTCCTTCTACCTCCTTTAGGGGCTACAGGTAAAGTTGGGAACAGTAGGGAGGATGGGGAAATAATGAAAAGTTCTCCCCAATCCTATTCCACTGATAGAATCCTTCCATCAACAGAAAGGAGCTCCTTGTGATTCAGTTCCTTGTTGTTTGATTATAGAAGGTGTACTGAGATATGAAGTCAGGAACCATTCAGACGGTATATCAAGTTCAGCACAGGAGGCAAGGAAAGACTATTTTAATCTTCCACAAATAGCCATACCTACTTTATTTATTTTTTTTAATTATATGACTATTACAACCTTGCTGCAAGGTAACAGTTATGCACTGTGCGGTGTTCTATTATCATTGTTTGGGTAAAAATACAGTTCAATATGTAAGAATTTAGCATATTTAGCACAAAAGCAGCAAAGAAAGGGAAAGCAGATAAAGTAACTTCATATCATGATGAAGAACACAATTGGGAGAACTATCTTTCCAAAGAGTTTCCTGTGATCAACAGGAAAAAAGAAAATTTACAAACACTACTGTGAAGACAGTGTTTCTTTTCAGAGAAGAAAGAACCATTGGGACATCCTGTTTTTACTGTGCTATGTAACTAAAGCAAATGATACAAAACTATAGTAAACAAACAGTGGAAGCAATTGCAAGTAGTAATTCACAAGTAATTATTCAAGATTGCATACATGATCACATCAGTTTTTAAAAATGTAATTTATCCCCTTCACAGCTGGCATACTGAGGTATTGTTACTGAAAGATCTTTTATCTGCAAGACTCAAAAAACTGCACCCAGGTGCCCAGTTAAAGAAGTCAAGTCATGGAAAATAAGGTACTTTCCCTCAGTTGAGGGACTTGAAATCCATCTACTAATCATTAATTGAATCCCATGCACCACTGATATATTGATTAAACTGCACAGCACTCAAGACAGGACATCCTGATTTTGAGTATTTAAATACATCAAACTATTTTAAAGAATTTGCCAGCATATTCCCATTCTTTTAAATCCTCAGGGTGACATATAAAATCTTAAATACAACTACAAAATGAATAAACAAGTCAATCATAATTCTTTTTCAGGGTTGTTACTTTTGGCCCAGAGCTACTTTGCTTGTAAAAACAAATGCTGGGTTAATTAACCATGGTTTGTTGAAATGTGGCCTGTTATTATGTGCAAGCCCAAAGCTGTGGATCAAGTATGGGATCCTAGTTATAAATAATGCATGAATAAAATGTATTGTTTGTTGTTGGATTGTGAACTATGAATTGTTTAATGGTTCGCCATACATGTGAACCCAGCATCATGGGTTGTTTCACCAGGCTACAGAGGTAGCAAAAAGGGCATTAAGACGACCTAGCTTCTTTACATGCCAGTACTGAAGTGTCATAAAGGTAGATGGGATGTGCTGAGATAAATAGATGTGCTGAGGTGATGCTAGATCATTAACACCTGTGTATTTGCTATTATTATCCAAGATAAATCTACTGATAAAGGCAGGCTGTGGTCATAAGGGGACAACTGATTTAAGAGAAGGGGAGGATTTGCTTCCAAATCAAATAAAATAGAAAAAGTAGAAGTTTTATGATGCACTGGTATGTCTCCAATCAGCTAAAATTTGACCAAAAAAATCAATCTTTTTTGTCTGAATCTTTGCATCTACCACCTGTACACTGAATTTAATACTTATTCACAAGCTACTGGCTGTTTATGTATTATGGAACGTTTAATGAATTGCTCAATAGTTTTAAAAAATGGTATGTACACGAGGATTCAAAAGTTATGGTTGACAGAAAGTGGTGCAGAGAAGAGAGGAGGCAGCCCTATCAAGATTAAACTGTTAGATTGCGTTACTGTGAAAGAATGTTTACAAGAGTGGATGTGGTTAAAAGGACACAGAGAAAGTGCTTTCAAAACGATGCTCAAATATTGTGGTCATTCATCTCTGTATTGTATAATAAAAGTGAAATTAGGTTAACATACATGGGATTTATGTTAAAGTTGGTAAAGGTTCCTTGTTCCGTAAAATTATTGCTAATACTATAGTAATTGTACTGTCTTATTCATTAAAGAAATATTCCTTCTTCCACTGTTAAGTTCCAACATAAATTCACTTGTTACCTGGATATTATTTTCACAGTTGTAGTTTGTCTCTTAATGCAACTGACCTGCAAAGAAAACAAAGCATGTCATCTCAAGACAGAACTTGTATAATAACGAAACACCAGCTCTCCAGGAAGGTGAACTCTCTAACTCTTCTGACACCCCGAAATTGGCTGCAATACAACTACATGACTGCACGCTTAAAATCAACAAGACTTCAGCATATTTCCAGCTAATGCTTATAGAAACTTAGTTCTTTATAAATGTTGAGATATTAATCAAAATCGCTCGAGAAAGCACAGTAAATTCATCCCCCCACAAGCAGAACACCACAAAATCAGCAGTTTGGACTGTGTGTACCTGTGAGTGAGAGAGTGAGCGAGCCAGGCAACATGATGAAAGGAGGAGAATGAACATTTTGAAATTTGAAAGGAGGTTGCCTGTACAGTAGGCAAGGGAACTGAAGAGAAGAAACACCCTCCCTTCTCAGAATAATGCAGTATTTGGGGAATTCCAGGAAGCTGGGTTGGTGGGAGAACAGCAGCTACCAGGAAGAAGCGCATAAGATGACTCTTAATGGCACATGTGTGCCAGTTTTAAAATACAGGATTGCACTGTAAGAGAGCCCAGCATTTTCTGAAAACCTCTGCGAAATCTCAAATAATCAAAAGAGCCCCAAATTTGTCAGCAGAAGATGCTCTGGCCAAACCTGGTAGGTATTTTATACTTATACCTGCCAAACACCATACTTCGGAAGAGATGAGAACCAGCACAACTCCTGTTCAGTCAGAAAAAGAAGCACAAAGTGGGTTCACAATGCCTCTTTCCAAAGTCAATCATTATGGGAGAAAACAGTCTTTCTGTCCATAGCTATCTGCATAATGTAGGGAAGACAGAGTAAAAAAAATCACCATAATCATAATGGCAATTATTTTACTAAAATCAAATAGTAAGCTTGCAGAAATGGAGAAGTGAGAACATTCTCTGGTTGGATCTAAATCTTATAACAGCCCCAACACCTTTACTCATTTTCATTACCTGGCTTAATTCCCCCTTCCCCGAGCCTCAAAATATGTGCAGTTAGGAGCCAAAAGTTTTTATTACACATTTTACCAGTCTTATGTGAACAACCTATGAGCTCTCTTACATGTTTTGAATAACCAGTTTGTCTGTTATGTTTCAGATGTCAAAGAGAGCAAGGAAAAGGAGTAGGCAATATACAAGGTAACTGAGAAGACAAGGATGCCTAAGGATAACTATATGCTGATTTGTTCAGCTGTGGAGGAGAAATAACAACAAACAAAAGGAGGGACCTATCAGAGCAATTCAGAAGCACTGAAAAGCAGGAGAAGAAAGCAAATAAGTGCAGCAAATGTGTGTGGGGAGACAGTATCTTCACCTTGGTAATGTGATTCTCTGGCTTCTACGTATTGAACTGACTGTTCTCAGTGTTCTTCAGCTCTTCAACTCTTTCCCAAGGCTACAACTAATCTAGAAAGGGATGATATTAACTCTCCTAACTTTTTGTGGCTCTTTTTCAGAGCATTTAATGCCATGGTTACCATTGTGCCCTGTCAGTTCTAAAATTAATTCTAACAGGTGACTGCATGGAACACAGTGAATAGAACTAGATGGAGGGCCTTTTGGCACCCCACTTGTCCACCCACTAAGGGTGAATGCATATTTGTGTGTGTATGTGCAGCTCTTGTGAAGACAAACCATGCTAGGCATAATTAGGAATGGAACAGAAAATAGAATTGCCAAATTCTCACTTTCCTTATGCAAAACTTTAGTACAACTGCACTTGTGTTCAGTTTTATCACCTTACCTGAAAAAAGGACTTTACTGAATTGGAAAAAGTACAGAGAAGGGCAACAAAAAGGATCAGAGGGCTGAAACATCTTCCCTTGGAGGAGAAGTAAACTGGTACTGTTTAGCTTTAAAAAAGAGCGAGTCAAGGGAGACATGATAGAGGTTTTTAAAATAATGCATGATGTGGAGAAAGTGAAGACATTTTTCTTCCTCTCCCATTAACAGTCGAACCCAGGCCTCCCCATGAACCTGACTGGTGGAAGGTTCAGGACAGATAGAAGGAAGTACTTCTTCACACAACATATCGTTAAACTATGGAATTCACTGTCATAGGAAATGGTGATGGTCACCAATCTGGGTGGCTTCAAAAGGAAATTGGACAGATTCATGAGAGGAGGCTATCAGTGGCTACTAGCCTTGCTGGCTATGTGCTAACTTTTTACTAGAAGTGGCATGCCTACATACACCAGTTGCTGAGGAATTTGGGTAGGTGAAGGTCTTTGCGCCCATCCTGCTTGAGGGATTCTGTGGGCAGCTGGTTTGCCACTGTGTGTACAGAGTGCTGGGCTTGATGGACCTTTGGTCTGATCCAGCATGGCTTGGACCGAGGGGTCTAATCGCGTATAATCTAAGTCCTGCTGGCAAGAGCCAGCTAAGGCAGGAGAAGCCAAAGAGCCATGTTGGCCTCTAGTTCCTTCTTTCAAGTTATTTTTACTTAGATATCCTCTAAGCCCATCAAGCTTCTTTACCTGGAGATGATGGGCAGGAAAGGAGAGGCATGTTTATCAGGCAAATATGAATCCTCTCACTGTCCCCAACCTCTTCTGAGGTTGTGGTTGCTAATTCAAGAAAAAAAAGGAGCCACCACAGAACATCTGAAACAACTGGGATGGTAGGAAAGATCCAAAAATATACACTTTCCCCATGATGACCCTCTAACTGAACCATATTTCCTAGCAGAAGCAAAAATGACATGATCAAAGAACAAATAATCTCTAAGAGTACTGAAATTATGAAGATGATTTACAGAATTCTCCTCCTCCTCTCCGTCTTATCCTCTCAACAACAGTGTGAGTTAGGTTGGGCTGAGAATCCGTGACCGGCTCAGAGTCACTCAGTTAGCTCCATGTCTGAGTGGCGACTTGAACCCAGATCTCTTGAGTCTCAGCCCTGCATGCTCAAGCATTACATGTCCCCTTTTCTTCAGAGTGAACCTGAGCTACCACATTTCTAGGCACATGTCCACCTTTTTAAAACTCAATAAGCACACTTAAGTACTTGTTTCTTCTGCAAATCTAGATCACTTAAATGTTACAGTTTCCCATAATATCCCTCTTGTTACTAAGACAAGAGTTAGACTGTTTAAGCTTGCAATCCTACACATAGTTGTCCAGGAGCAAGTACCACTGAACTGAGTAAGGATTAGTTCTGAGTAAGCATGCATAGAATTGCATTGCAAGGAATGTATATAACACCTACAAGCCTTGAAATTAATATACAAAGTACAAATTCTATACAAGATACTGAAACATTTAGAGATGCATTAAGGAAATATATTTGTAGAGTGGGTGGGGGGCAGTATCTCACACATGCTTGATCAACTCAAAGGAAGCACCCCACTGCAATTCCTGACTTTGGGATAAAAAGGTAAAGAGAAAAACAGCAGTTTAACTTTGTGCAGTAGTGGATCTTTTCTACTTCACCTTTCTTTTCTATTTTCCCCAGAGAGATCTGCCAGGTGCTGTCGTTATTTGCTTTTTGGCACCAGGCTAAGACATTTTTATTTAAACAACATTTTAACAACTCTTAATAATATCTATAGGTTTTAATTTTGCAGCCAGGGTGATTCTGGGTTTTTAATTGGATTATTTTATTATGTTTGTTTATTTTATGTGAACTGTCCTGAGGCTATAAGCGATGGGATGGCATACAAAAATTCTAAATAAATAAATAAATTTCCCACCCGTAAGGCATCAAAGGATTTGGACATTTTAAAAAAGATCCTTAAGGAAATAACTGGAAATTTTTATAACGTAGTATTTCCTTATACCACGGACCACAGGAATGCAAACTGCTTTACCAAGTAGAGATTTCCTCACTGGAAACAACTGACAACTGGGAACAACCCACTGATTGCTCCATCCCAGCCTCTTAAGCACATAGAAACAAGTAGGGGTTGTAGAATAATTACACAAAAACTCCAACAATCTGAAGAGCTTTAAATGTTCTATCGGCAGAGGACAGTTAACAAAGGACCACACTGGAGATAGTTACTTAAGCATTCTAAGACATGTATTCTCACATATTGTTTTTCTCCTATCCAGGTTAACTATGAAAAAAGCTGTAGTTCTAGACATACATTTAATTCACCATACATTTTAATTCTGAACAATCTGCTGGACAGCCATCTGTTAGGGATGTTTTAACCTGGAGTCCAGCACTGAGTAGGGGGTTGGACATAATGGTCTTATAGGCCCCTTCCATCTCTCCTATTCTATAATTCTATAAATGAAAGCATAATCCTGTAGCTCATGGTCAGGCAAAGCATCCATTTCTTTGTGCTAAGTCTGTTTAATTAAGGGTTAAGGTTTTGGCAGTTGGACAGACAAATGTTTGAGATTATAGAAGGATTTTATAACAGATTGTAAGATTAGTTTAAGACAGTTATTTAGTTTTAATCATTAATTATACAATATGATAGACACTACAGTTATTTCATTTCAAACTTAACAGAAAGAAGGTGATAGCTGTTAAATAAGCAGAACTAAATGTTTAGCCAAAAAGAGGAACTCAGTTAAAGTGTTCCAAACTGTAAGAAATTATCTGGTTTCAAAAGACACGCTTGATCCTTGTCAAACATATCTGCCAAAATGCACAAACAAATACTGAGGTGTCGACCTTCATCCTGTATCACAAACTGATTTTGGAATCATTATTTAATTTCAAAAATCGCTTGCCTTGGTGTAGAGCAAGAGTCCAAAGCCCCAATAAGTATGTGGTAGTAGTAACAAATAAGGTTTTTTTCCCTTTTGTGAAGGGGTCAATGGTTTTCGGGGATTTAATTTGTATGTATCTCTTTGAGGCAAGGCACTTTCTTATTTCATCCTCATGCTCTCATTGCTCCCATGAACAGAATGCTGGGCTAGAACAGTCACTGGTCTAATCCAGCATGGCTCTTTTTATGTTCTTAAGTGCAACAGTTTCTTTGTCCTGCAAATACAACCTTTAGGGTTTTTTTAAATATCCACTCAAAGGTTTGTTTCAAAGGGAGTAGCAAGGGAAATGCAGGCTCAAGTGTCATTTTACAATGATTGTCATAAAACTTTTCAGAAAAATGCATGGATATTTCAACTCCAGATGAATTGTATTCCAAAGCCAAAGCCAAGCTTTTGTCCTGTATTTTATATCTGAACACAATGCTGACATTGTGTGGGTGTGGTGAATCCTATTTGTTCACACATTTCAAAGGAGTCTGACAATGTTGGTGATAACATTCTATTTCCAGAAGAGTGACTGAGGGAAGGGATCAACAGTTCAAGACTAGGTTGCATACATGTGCCAGACCTTATTTCAGGATACAATTCCACTTGCAAAGAACAGATTGTGAGTACGGCATCCAGAATTCTAGTCTTAAGATGTTAAATGCAAATGTATAACTGATTAGAAGACAGCATAATAATACAACAATAGGTAGCTCTTTCTGTCATTTACTGAGGTAAAGAAGATAGAACCTGGACGTATTTGGAAAGTAAATTAAAAGGACCTGCAATTTGCATACTGTGATTTCTGACTTGTGTCTGTCACATTATAACAAAGTTTTGATTTTGTTTTTCTCTGGGGGGACTTGCTCAACTTTTACACAACCTTCTCTATCAGATTCTCTGTAACAATTTATATGTTTAAGATAAAATAGGGATTTTTAAGTAGTGGAGGAGAAAGGCAGTTAAGGTAGTCAAAACAGTCCCTGCTGGTAAGCGTTTATGGGCCTCACCAATTGGGGCCATAAATGCCATTTTAAAAATGAAAGCATGCCCATCCCAGAGGCTATTAGGACTTGTTGCAATTCACAACAAAGTACATTGGATGGGTTCAAAGCAGTATGTGGCACACTGGTGTTATTCTTCAACTTGTTCAGCTGGCTCCGCTTAAGTCTATATCCTATCCCTTACACACTGTTTTTTGTTTTAGAAGCTAAAAGCATATTGGATAAAATGAAAGGAATTCTTCATGATCATTAGATAAACAATGAGACAAGATGAACTGCTGCAACTGCCCCCATTGTGTCTATCCTGTGGGTCAACTATTTAAAAATTCCAGCTTCAGTAATGTCAATGCAGCATTTTCCAAGGGAAAAGAGGCTATTTGAAAGCATTCTCAATA